TTAGAATGATAGAGTGTTACAATTAAATCATTAACTTTATGAACTTAAATAGCTTTATATCCTTCAATCTAATTGATAGAATAGTGCTGAACTTTGCTACAGTATAGCCCTATTGTGGGAACTTGGATTGCAGCTTCTCAGAGTCATGCACAAACACAAAGAAATGCTCTCTCTTAATACTATCCCTATACTGATAGAAAGGTCCAGGCTCAGCAATGAACATATATTTACTGAATTTATATACATGCAAATTTACTAAACTACTTTGCCCTACTGGAATACCCTAGAACAGGGTTTCCTAAAAGGTAGATGCCCAGATGCCCATGATGCGTTCTAATTCTAAAGGCATGCATGGCATCATGGGAGTTGTAATTCTAGAACATTTGGGGATCTACCTTTTGGGCATCCCTGCCCTACAAACTGCCAGAAAAATGGATGATGTGCTCTATTATGGAACCTACTGAAAACGTCCAGTTTTGTGGAATGTGTAACCAACTAAACTGTCTTGATCAGAATGTGAATGTGTCAGAAATGGCTGATGTATAAAACTGTAATTCTCCTATCCAGTTGGTATTAACCAGGGCCAGATTAAGAGCCCATTGGGCCTGGTGCTGACAATTATGATGGGCCTTATCTCAAAATCGTATTGACAGAAAATACTAAAACCGTTATACCTCCCAAGAATCTAATTGTCGATGAAATGCACACATGCACATATAAATATAAATACAAATATACAACTCGTCCATAGTACAGCACTGCTGTGTATGTTGCTCTACAGTAGATAATAGTAACATACAGAAAAAAAAACACTACACTGTACGACTCAGAGTCTGGTACTTTTGTTCTGGATTAAATTTTAGACAAGCGTTTGCCTTATGTTCTTCCACTAGGCTTTGTTTTAGTGTTTCTTATTTTTATTTTATTTTTATTAAAAGTAAAATCCCAAACCATTTTCATTCAATCATTATTTAAGATCCTACTATGGCCTCTTGGTGGCAGTCATGTTTTGCTTCTAAAAAAAAAGATGGTGATAAACACACTGTATTCTTAGCTTGAACGCCGCATGTTTCCTCTGCATATGTTATTACTAACCTGAAAAACTAATATCCACTTAATAAACAAACAAACAAACAAACACAAAAGTGTTTTAATTAACCTCATGATGATGATTATGATTTATCTAACAAATAAAAAAAAAAAAAAACATAACATTGTATTCTTTCTTCTCTCCCCTGCCATTTGTAATTCTTTAATAAACCCAGTAAAGCATTTTGCTTTTATATAATCTTCCTGCTTGGTCTGCAATATATCCTTTTGTAATAAATCGGACTAGTAGGATGTTACCACCAAAATGTTATCTTAATTACAACCCAAATATATTTTGCAACATAATAATTTATTAGGAGCAAGAATAAATCATTATAATTAGTGATGTCCCGAACGGTTCGCCGAACGGTTCGCCGCGGACGGCTAACATATGCGGTAAACTTTGACCCTGTACCTCACAGTCAGCAGACAAATTCCAGCCAATCAGCAGCAGACCCTCCCTCCCAGACCCTCCCACCTCCTGGACAGCTCACTAAGAATGCAGCTTCACAATGAATGTAAAATGGATGCTGTCCAGGAGGTGGGATGGTCTGGGAGGGAGGGTCTGCTGCTGATTGGCTGGATTGTGTCTACTGACTGTGAGGTACAGGGTCAAAGTTTACTGCATATGTTCACCATCCGTGGCAAACCGTTCGGCGAACCATTCAGGACATCACTAATTGTAATATATAGCATGTAGGCAAATATGGAATAGAGGCATTGATCATACACTAGAATAGATCATTTAGGTTTAAAATGAAACTTGGATTAATGAAGAATATTTAAATATGTAAAAAAATGGGGGTTATAGGAACAGAAAGATAAACATATATAAAATGTAACTTCATAAAGAACACTGCACGTGAACGTTAAGTAAAAAAATAGAATCATGCAGAGATACTGAGTATCATGTGCTGTGGTATCAGCACAATATAAATATAAAATCATTATTTCAACTGTGGACGCTAGCAGTATGTTCATTGTGCTATGAAAAGCTTAGCATCATGTAATTATACAGACAATACTGGCTTTGAGTAGATTTTTTGTAAAACAATTTAATTATCCATCCGATAATCTATTTTCGTAACACACTGATGCAAATTATTTTCAGTTCAAACATTATGTAATTAACAGATCTCCATTAGTGATATAATTGAGATATATATTGTGAATTGTGGCACAATGATAAATAGAAGCAGGTCTGGCCAGAGGCGTAACTAGAAACCACGGGGCCCCGGTGCAAAAATTGACATCACACCCCAGCCCCTCCATGTGTCACATTCGTGCCCCCCAGACCCTCCATGTGTCTCATTCACACCCCACAGGGTGAGCGTGGCATAGTTGGGGGGATGAATATAACAGAATGAAGGGGTTAATGCGATATGGTGAGTGTGGCAGGGTGATTGAGAATGAGTTTGACAGGATTGGAGGAGTGAGTGTGACAGTGCGAAAGAAGGTTGGTGTGATAGGGTGAATAAGGCAGAGCAATGGGAGGTGAGTATGGCATGGCTGAGTGACAGGATTGGCAGCATTATTGTGAATGTGGCAGGGTGAAGGGGGTAACGGTGTCTGTGATGGGGTGACATACACTGACTCAGCAGATAAACGCAGATAAACAGACAAACACACACTGACATACATGCAGATACACACCATATGACACATACAGATGCATACATGGACACACATGCTGATACACAGACACATACAGATGCACAGATGCACAGATATGCACACTGACACACATGCAAATACACAAACACATATATACACACAGATACACAGAATGACACTTGCAGATGCAAACAATGACACACATACAGATACACAGACACACTGACACACATTCGGATACATTGACACACATACAAACAGATACACATATAGACACACAGACACTTAATGACAAACATTCAGATACACAGAATGACACTCATACAGATACATAGGGCACACACTGACATACAGATACACATACAGACACACATACATACAGAGAAACATATACATACAGAGATACACATACATACAGAGACACACACACACATACAAACAGATACACAAACAAAACACATACCTACAGATACACACATGTATATAGAGACACACATACATACAGAGACACACACATACATAGACACAGATACACAAACACATGCAAAATGGTTTAGTCACTCTCCTGTTTCTTACACTCTCCTAGTCAGGAGGATGACTTCCCTGCCTCAAGCAGAGTTCCCACTCTGACTCCCTCCTCTCCTCTCCAGCACATCTGCTTCACCTTCCTCCCGTGTGGGCTCTGTGTAAGCCGTCATTTCCTCCCACTGATCTGAAGGCATTACAAGGTGCTTGGTCGCACTGCTAAAGTGCTGCATCACTGACCAAGCCCCTGGAAATATGCAGCATTGGGTGGCCCTAACAGCATGGGCCACCTGAAGGGCCCCTTCAACCCAGTTGCAATAGTCCACAGGGTGGCCGGGCCCCCTGGAGTGACGGGCCTGGTTGCAGCTGCGACCTCTGCGACTGCGGTAGTTCCGCCATTGGGTCTGGCTTAAAATCTACTTCATTTTGAAAACAAAAGTTAAAAGCAGAACATACAACTCTTGACTGTTGCCGAGGATACAGAAAAGTCCTCAGTCCTGTTAAGCTACAACCAAGAATAATAATAAGAGCTGGTCAGTCTCTACTATAGTTATTTCCAAATGTTTCTAGTTGTGTTCTTTCACAGTAGCAACTTGACATTAGCTAGGTTGAAAAGTTGCTCTGGGAGGGCACAAAAGAAGGGGTTTGGCTAACAACTAGAGGAGTGCCAGAACCATTTTTATTCTCCTATAATCCAGTATTAATGAAAACATAAAACCAGGGCTGACCCACGACATTTTGCTGATTGGCTCCAAAAACAGAATGCTGCACAGTGAAAAAATTAATCTCAAGTTTTCCCGAAAACGGAAAACATTTTGGGACAACCGAATTTCAGGCAATTGACGGTTTGGCTCAGCAGAAATTTGCTACAGATAAGTTTTTGTAAGCAAGCTGATTTGAACAAAAGGGTGTGAAAATGTTATCTCTCTTAAGGACACTGGAGAGAGAACTTATCTTGATGCATGACTCATTATAAAAAAAACGAACTAGCAATTTCACAACAGAGTTTCTGACATCGTAATGCTTACAAACAGAATATTCAAAGAAAAAATATTCTACTAAAAGATTCTATACTGCTCTGATCAGTTTTCGGTTTGACAACTGACCACAATTAGCACCATGGCTAACCAACCAATCATTGAACAGGTTCTAAAAAGAAATAATGTGACAGCATAACATTGTAGGAGGATTCATGGTTTACCGCTGAATCCATTTAATTAATGTTAACAATGCTACTGGTAACAGTAATCCAAATCCTCTCAAGATACACATACATTTAGGAAATGCCTCCTGGGAATGCATGGAGCTGCAGAAGGCTGAAATAGTCTTTCACTACTTCAGATCACATAGTGCCATCATAGTATAGTTATATAAATTATAGACCAATATATTAATAATTGCAGTAGGACTTTGTACTATCACAATGTGGGGCTTCAATTCAGTGTCAATTTGATTATTTTGCCTCCATTTCATATTTGCTAAATTAACATTAAGACAACACTATGTACTCTATCTACCCAAGAACAACCATTTCTTCTGGTTTGAATAGTAACCTATTGTGTGGAACTGTATCGAATGCCTTGGCAAAACCCAAGTAGATGTCATCCACTGCAACACCCTGATCTATATTTCTACATAAGAAAAAAAAGTTACCTGCGCTCTTTCACATCCCTATGTATCTTTAAACAAATGGAGGTTTTTAGTTACCTCCAATGGCCATGAGAGGGTATGCCCACCTGCCACGTCAAGGCAAACCTCTTAGATGGGTCCTAACTCTAACAATTCACCTTGCTTCCTTGAGCTTCTGGAAAAAATATCTCTAATGAGACAGAGAGGGATTTGTAGGGATTTATAAAAAAAATACCCCTCTCTGTCTCATTAGAGATATTTTTGCCTGAAGCTCAAGGAAGCCAGGTGAATGGTTAGAGTTAGGACCCACCTAAGAGGTTTGCCTTGACGTGGCAGGTGGGCTTACCCTCTCATGGCGATTGGAGGTAACTAAAAACCTCCATTTGTTTAAAGATACATAGGGATGTGGAAAGAGCGCAGGTAACTTTTTTCTTTGGTTTTTACTATATGTATTTTGGCTGATGTGTACTATAGTCATTGCTGCCGCCCAGGAGTAATGGGAGTTTGAGCGCAGGACTAGTTTCTTTGTATTTGTATTCACTTTTGTATCACACAGCTAGGTTGCAATGCTGCTGCCCATCCCATGTGTTCCCTATTAAGGGTTAATACGCATGTAGAGATTTATATGAAAAATACCCCTCTCTGTCTAATTAGAGATATTTTTGCTATAAGCTCAAGGAAGCAAGGTGAATGGTTAGAGTTAGGACCCACCGAAGAGGTCTGCCTTGACGTGGCAGGTGGGCATACCCTCTCATGGCCATTGGAGGTAACTAAAAACCTCCATTTGTTTAAAAATACAAAGGGATGTGGAAAGAGTGCAGGTAACTTTTTTTTCTTTGGTTTTTACTATATGTATTTTGGCTGATGTGTACTATGGTCATTGCTGCCGCCCAGGAGTAATGGGAGTTTGAGCGCAGTACTAGTTTCTTTGTATCTATATTTCTACTTGCCACTTTGTAGAATTCAATGAAGTTAGTTTGTCATGACCTATGTTTCATAAAACCATGCTGATTTTTGGCAATAAGAATATTATTTTCAATGAATTCCTGAGTATTGCCCTTAGTAAATATTTCCTTAGTTGTTGTAGCACCTTGTCTTGAGTCACCCAATCACAAGTTTTCTGCATGTTTTTTGTAGCAATCTTTTCTGCCTCTTCCTGGTCTTCATTAATGGGAAACTATAGTGCCAGGAAAACAAATTTGTTTTCCTGGCACTATAGCTCCCAATAGGACCCTCCTCTGTCGCGGCTCCTCTCCACATGGTGCAGAAGGGGTTAAAAACTCCTTCTGTCACTTACCTGATTCCAGCGCCAATGTCCCTCGAAGTTGGTTCAGGCTTTGTCTTTGCTCCTCCTTTTCCGACGTCAGCTGGTGGAGGAGACCAAATGCGAATGTCACACTGCATTAATACTGGCACACAGGAAGGAGAAAAGGCAAGTAAATGCACCTTTTTAACTCTTGCAGCAGGGATGTGGTCACCTAAGTGATGACTAGGACATTAAAGAATTAGTAATGCACATTTGTATTCCTAACGCTATTTGTAACTTCTTAATGTGCCTTAAATGCTGAAAGATGAATCTAAGTAAAATGGAAACTATTATTGCAAATTACTATGTTTAATTTTTTTTTTAGACATACCCTAGGTAATTTTACATATTGATGTCTTAAAAGATTGTGCATTATAATCATTTTATTTTCATTCTTTAAACGTTACCTTGAAGCTATTTGTTACTTTAGAAGTGGTTTAACGTCACATTTATTTTCTTGTAACAGGTCACAGAGAAGGAAAATCTTACAATGGAACAATCTGACCCAATGTCAGTAATAATTAAAGGTAAAGATGTTAGTAATAAGGTAAGTCAACACAGAATTATTTTATGGAATAGAAAAACATATACAGAGTTGTTAAGAATTACAATATATCAGGCAAAATATAAAAAAAGGATACTGTATAATATCCCAAAAGACCAAATGTTAATGCCAAACACCCAAAAAGTGTCCCTCACATACACCAAATATAATATATAACAAACCAGGAAATATATACCACACCGAAAACAAGGTGACAGTATAAATTAAAGGGGTAGCAAACCAATGTAATAAAACATACAACCTGTATGTAATAGAACAAGTCTTGAGAAATCTAAAAATATGAAAAATTATACAATGATGAAGTATGTACAAAGCACCAAGCTCAATCCCGAAGGTAGAGAACTTACAAACAGTATTGTTGATCTGTGCTTATCTCCCTCTTAAAGGGTATCTCAGAACAGCAAAGGAACTTCTTTTCAAGGAGGGCTTGCAGATATAGATCAGAATATATACAAAGACTCCAATCCTCAAATGAGAAAAATATATAGAGCAGTATTGTCAACCAAAATACATTTATTAATACTGGTTACACTTACATAAAAACTGTGTTAAATCAGCATATCTCCACTCAAACGGTGGTACCATGAGGAGGGAGGTCCAGCTTCAATTAGTAAAACAATAAAAGAGATTATAATAACAACAAAAATAAAAAAGGAGAAAAAAAAACTAGCAACTAAATGTTTCTAGTTTTGGGGGTTTTTTTCTCCTTTTTTGTTGTTGTTATTATAATCTCTTTTATTGTTTTACTTATTGAAGCTGGACCTCCCTCCTCATGGTACCACCGTTTGAGTGGAGATATGCTGATTTAACACAGTTTTTATGTAAGTGTTACCAGTATTAATAAATGTATTTTGGTTGACAATACTGCTCTATATATTTTTCTCATTTGAGGGTTGGAGTCTTTGTATATATTCTGATCTACATCTACAAGCCCTCCTTGAAAAGAAGTTCCTTTGCTGTTCTGAGATACCCTTTAAGAGGGAGATAAGCACAGATCAACAATATATCAGGCGTTTTATAAATCCACTAATATGATTGCCCAAAATGTTAAAATTAGGAGAATGGTACAATTATAAAAAAAAAAAAAACATACTACCATAGATTATAGTTTTGTCAGAATGTATGATCTCATTCTAAATCTAATACAAATATAATAATTTTCAAGAGGTTTCTGCCTTAGCATGTGTCAGAGAAATACAGCGTGGAACTATTACTTGAGTCCAACTGTATTTAACTGTATGATATATAGAGAAAAGAAATACAAATCATGAATAGCAAATGGCTAGCTGCTGTAGACGGATAAATAAGAAGCTTATGTGAATGCAAAGTTGGTGAGCAAAATAAATTTGCCTGGATGTACAAAAAAAACTTGAGTAATATTTGCTGGTAGCAAGACTGAACTCTTTTCATATGTATAGGATACTATATGCTATAGAATGAAAATATATATGAGTTATAGAAAAAAGGTATTCAACCTAATATGGGCCACTGGATAAGGCTATGTACCCTTAGATGATTTGTAGGGAGCGTTGGTGAGTATTATCCCAAGATCTGGACATAGATGTGGATTCCCGGTCCACATGGACTATACGTAGGGGTATCTAATCTGTGATGGATTGTTAAGCATAGGCATTTGTCCAAAGATGGTCAACATAGAAAGTGTGCCAACCTTGGACCTTGCCCTATGTTGGGAACCATTACAATGTACAACTGTCTTCTGTGAAAGTTCTTATTGTACATTAAAATGGTTCTGTCACTTTTGTTGTTTTTGTTCCCAATTAAACCTTTTTGCTTCATCCACATCCCCATATTTTTCTAATTTTTTTTAAAATTAATATAGTTTTTTCTTCTTTTATACCTGAGGTTCAATATGGACTACTTTTTTTATGGTGAACATGATCTTTGGCAATATTTAAGCAGAGCTTAGTGATGCTCATGTCCCCATCGCCATGTTGATTTACATTCAAAACTCTTTGACAAATTAAGTTTTCTCCTTATTTGCATGACTGCAGACCTTCAATTCCTCCTTCTGTTACCCTTCCCTCCCAATAACTCACAGACAACCAAATTTGTGGGTAAAGGCAATAGCCACAGCTTTATTCACAACCAGCATAAGTAATAACAACTGTCAGGTATTCCCCAGCAGACAGCTACCAATCAACTCCATCTTCACGAGCCTCTTCGGCCTGAAGTCTATACTAGACCATGCTGCGATTCCCCAAGCCCGTCCGGGCAATGTACTCTATTCCAGTTTGCTGGCAAAGGAAAAACCACAGATGTGACAAAATAAACAGAAAGACACAAACACAGAAACAACAACAAGCACAGTAACCAAGCACATATCCCATACCACACGTACACAGGGAGGGTGGGCAGAAAACAGCACTGCCAGGTTTCCTCTGTGTGCTCTCCAGTGGTCTGGTAAGTCTGTTCACAGTTTCCCCGGTCCAGGTGCATCCCCAACATTGAATCCTTGTCGCCATGCCGACCGCTCTGGGCAGCAGTCATGCTCCCCTCTGCCCCCCTCCTTATATATTCCGGGGGGTTGGCCTGTCTAATCATGTTTTGTTTTTTTCCATTGTTTTGTTATGTACTGTATTTTCTGGTGTATAAGATGACTTTTTAACCCTGGAAAATCTTCACCAAAGTCGGGGTTCGTCTTATACGCCGGTATAGGGTCTAAATGGCTGCTGGGGGCACCCTACGCCCCCATCGCCGGCCCTTCTAATGCTGCAGCCGCCTGAGCGCTCTATAGAGAGCGCTCAGACGGCTGCCGCACTGCCTCTCTTCTCACCTCCCCTTCCCTGTGCAGAGTGGGTGGCCGAGCTCCTCTTCGTCCTGTCAGTCCGGCCGGTTCAGTTACCTGTTCCCGGCCGGACTGAAAGGAAGTGCACACTGACAGGACGAAGAGGAGCTCGGCCACCCACTCTGCACAGGGAAGGGGAGGAGAGAAGAATGTAGGGAGGATTGGGGGGGAGTAAAAAGAATGGGGGGGAGTAAAAAGAATGGAGGGTGGGATTAAAAAGAATGGAGGGGGGAGTAAAAAGAATGGAGGGGGGAGTAAAAAGAATGGAGGGGGGATTATAAAGAATGCAGGGGGGAGTAAAAAGAATGCGAGGGGGAGTAAAAAGAATGGAGGGGGAGTAAAAAGAATGGGGGGGGGAGTAAAAAGAATATATCGCAATTAGCCTCCTGTGTGCTAGACCAGCAGGCATGGATTATATGCCCAAACTGCCTGACACATACCTGGGCTTTAATTGCTATTTCAGATTATCATTATTTAATGTCTTGCTGTGTAGCTCTGTCTGTTCACTGTACATCATGTCTAATTTTTATTTGGTGTGCATTGGAAGAGGGGTGGTCTTATACGGCGAGTATATCCCAAACTCTATATTTTAACTGGAAAAGTTGGGGGTCGTCTTATACGC